ACATTATTATTATTATATTTTGAATTAATTAAAGCTCAAAAAAATGGTTTTTATACCATTAATATAGTATCTTCTTTTTTATGTAGGAAGCTTGTATATGTATACGGATTTTGAAAGTATCTTTTACACATTTTTCTGAAAGAAAAGTCTTGCTGATTTTTTTTAATAATAGTTCGAGACAAAAGCTGACGAAAGTATCTACTAGAAATTTTAAAGTGCTTTTTAAACAAAAGTTTAGATTTGTTCAGGTTCGGTTCAGATTAAAAAATCGAAAATAAAATAAATGAAAAAACGAGCAAAAAAAAAAAAGAAAAATTAAAAGCAATTCTACTTAACGATAAAAAGAATTTAGGGTTCTAAACTGTATCACAGAAATTTTGATTATTCGATGTGTGTATTATAAATTCTCTTCGCTAAAATGCTATACAATAAGTAGTTGTAAATTATTTACAAGTTTAATACTGAATTTTTGATATATTACAATTTATTATTAGATACATATTATATATTGGTTAAATTATACATCTTCTCGGTTTGCACTACTATAAAATACTTTATCGATGAATTCTAATTTCATACTGTAAAACTTTGGCAAAATTTAGATAAACTTTTTGATTACAGAATGATTTCCTCCGTTGTACAATCGAGCGCAATGAAAATGAACAACCCAGCAATAATTCTCTTTATTCTACAATCGACCACAATGAAAATAAACAGCCTAGCAAATATATATTGACTATTATTACCCCTATTCGGGTGAATGTTTCTGTATTCGGTTGACGATATTCTCATTGATATTTTATTCCATTATATTTAGAAAATCAGTTTTGAACGAATTATTTCACCGAATTTTAGTTTGCTTTAATATACATCCCTTGTTTCTTTTCACAGTTTTCTCTAAGCAAGACTTTCCATCTATATGCACACATTTAATAACAAATATCGAAATTAAAAACAAAAAGCGTTTAATATGTTTAAAATACAACAGTTTCTTCCTCTATTTCGTATAACACTACTCTACTAATCAGTTATTATAGGATCAAGTCTTTGATATTAAAACTAGATAATAAATAATTTAAAAATACTTAAAAACTACACGTTCTCGCAAACAGTACTTAAAAACCACACTCCTTTTTAACTTCACTACATATTAGCACCCTTTCGTTTCATCATTTCGAAAAATATAAAAACAATTTGATATTAACAATACATATTAATTATTTGAACTACAAAAAGAATTGGTCTGATGAACTGATTTTTTTTATTATTTGTTAGTTTTTAGTACGCCACGAGAACTGACTAAAAGATACCCTAATCAGTAGCCGGGAGGGGTGAATGGGTGCAGTTGAAAAGGGCATTCTTACTTACTTTGCTGCCCCCTACGATAACATTGTTGGTGGTAGGTAGAGAACCGGTTTTAACAGGCGACGACGTCGTTGATTTCGTCGTTGTTGTTTTTACGTTATCGTTGGAATCTTTCTCCCCACTGTCATCACCCTCCGAGGGTGGTACTACGATTAAGTTTTGTTCTTCTGCTAATTGCAACCAGTGTGCTCTGTTTTGTTGGACACCGTCCACGAGGGGTTGCAACTTGTCAGATAAGTTTGCAAACGCCTGAAACGAAATAAGTATTTTTCAACGATGATTTATGCGGATGCGGTGTACCGATGAGAACTAATAAACTCGAAATCGCGTTTCGCATCTACGGTTTAATAAACTGCTGTAGAAGAACTTTATATCGTTAAAGAACCGTAGGAGCGTCACCGAGTTCGTTGCGCAGTAAGGCAGTACGTGTTCGATTTGGGCGGAAGCAAAGAGACAAGAAGCCTAGACATGTACTTCATTTACTTTCTCTAGCGATGTGCCCCTTCCAATGTCTTGGATGCGCGCTGGCAAAATCGTAGGTAGGGAGAAAAAAGCTCATTATACTCTCGACTCTTGTTCATTAAACATACTTTTTCATACAGTACCTGCCAAAAGTTTTGTTCAATCATGAATAGTAGTGCGAGTCGAAAACAAGCGTTAAAGCCTTTAATATGTCTTCAAATATAAATAAACATCTCGTTGATATTTTCAGTAGTAAATGGTACCAATAACAGCACATTTGAGCAATGCAATTGTAGTGGATAAAATGGTCAATTTTTCCGTGCAGTACTGTACGGATTATACGCTCCTCACCGGTTAAGAGTTTGGCCGAGAGTTGTCTCCTTCCTTTTCTGGCCTAGTGCTGTTCTTTTCTACTTTGTGCCAGTCAAACTGAAGGTCACATCGCTACAGAAAGTAAACAAACTATACCTAGACGGAACATGGGGCGGACCGTAAAAGCGTCACCATCTTGCGCAATAAGGCATTGAGCATTTTACTTGGCCGTAGACAAGATTTCATTTACATTTTGTTTTTGACAACTGAGAATAGCGAAACTGAAAATTTTTAAGCTTACCTCATAAACTGGTAGGCATATAGAATCGATGAATCCTATTTGCATTAAGGGTAATTGGTCCTCCTTTTCCCTGTTCATTAGATCCTGAAAAAGAAACCATTTTCGTGACAAAAAGATTCTTTTTTTGAAACATAATGACGGAGAATTTGTAGAAATACTTACTATAGGAATTATTTTAAGTTCAGTCCTTTCAATATCACCCTGTTCGAAAAATTCGGACGAAACAAGTTCCGCCACCCGTTTCTCGACGTCCCAGGGCTTAGTGATGGCCGCTAAATCGCAAACCGTCATCAGCATGGCCCTTAGAAGGTCCCTGTGCTCTTCCAGAGCCCAATTTGGACCCTCCTCTACTATTTGGAAAAATGCACCTCTTTTTCTAAAAACAAGACACGAAAATAATAAACTCTTTCACATAACAACCCTGCATTGTTCATCAGTCAGTTATTCAGTGTGAAATGTTTTGCACGCCAATAAAAACAAAATTGAATTTTGAAGGTTCATTTGGCAAATAGGTCGTCCATAATTCAATTAGTAAATCGAATGTGACGATTTCAACGATAAAATTATATTGTTTGTCGCGCGTAACGTAGTGGAACTTGCAAATCAATATTTAACGCGACCAATTTTAATTAACGTTGCAGAGAAACCCCTTCAAAAAAGCAGGTCAAGTGATGACCGTCCACCCTGCTCGCTACACGCGTGATACCAACTGTAAAATACGTTTCTATTTACCTGAAGTAAACGGCTAGATCTGTAGAAAGAATGGCATCTTCCAAAACCTTAATAACCCTAGTGTATTCGTCAGGCGAAAGACCCGATAAAAATTGGTTCCCCGGTGAATTTAAGATCATTATGCATTGGTCGAAATGATGATGTTCCATCGTTGAGGTTGAATAGAGCTGGGCCAAAGCTGACGATGCTCTTGAAAAAGATAAAGAGAATTCGTAAAGGAAAAAATGGCAACACAAGAATATGTCGGACTTACTTAATTTGAAAGGAATTGTTGGTCCCCCGGTGGTCCAAGTCGTGACAGAGACAAGCAATCATTAAAGCAAGTACTTCGATTTCACCAAACACATTCCACCATTGCGTAGCCTGCAATTAATTAACAGTAAATTTCTCAAGTCCAAATAATTTGTATTGTGGTACTTACGGTTAGTATGGAAAACATCATTTGAGCAACGTTGAAAGCATGCCTCCAGTTATGATAAGTAACGTTTCTATAGTTTTTCTTAACGGATAACAACCACCTGCACAAGACTTCGTAGTCCATATGGAATCTTTCGACTAGATCAAGATCAAGGAACATTCTAATACAAGCCTGAAACGAAAAACGATTTTTTTTAATAATATTTTTATTAACTGATGAATAAATTATCGTGCACTTACTGTGAGAGTTTCTTCATCATGTAGATGAATATCATCAAAAGCGAAATTATGTAAATTGAAATGCGCAGACGAAGGCACCCTCAAGGCCTAAAAGGAAGACGAAATAAATATTAATCATCAAATAATAAAAATTACTTAGATAAGCTGTAGATCACGATATACTGCCAATTGCTTCACATTAATGAACTCGCTTGCAAGAAGCATTACTAAATATTATCCAGAAAGGGGGACAGCCTACCTACCTTAAGTTTTTGTGCATCTTCTAGACTAGCGGTGGCGTGATAAGATAATACTTCAAGGGTGACGCTCTGCTTGGCGATAGCTACAACCGCCCTCTCGTACATGTGCGTGTTGTGTATGCCCATGCCGCAGAAAATCGCGAAAGCCTCCACGAAGTTCTCGTCGTTTTTCGTGAACGGCAAATCGTCGAATTTATTGATCAACTGGATCACGCCGATGATCTGACCCGTTGAATTTTTGATGGGCATACACAAGATGCTCTTATGTCGAAACCCTGTACCATAGTCCACATTTGGATCGAAGCGTGAATCTTCGTAAGCGTTTAATATGTTTACAGTCTACAAAGAAGAGCACACAATAACAACACGTATCTATATTGAGAATGCTTCTTATCGTTAGTAGTTCAACAAGTATGTTCTTCTAAAGGGAATCAACCAGGAGTCACTTTTGCTCGAATGGTATCGTGTTCAAATTTGAACAGTCTAATTTGTTTATGAAAATTCCACTGTTCAAATTCATTGGAAATATGCTCCAGTTGAACCCCTTCAAGCAAATAATCTTGTATGTTTGACACTTACCTCACCTGTCGTAGCTACATAACCCGTAATACCGATATTTATTGGAAATCTGCTTTCGAAGGGCGACGTTCTAGATTCACCCTCCTCGGCAGTTAGATCGTTAGCTTCAAAATCAAAGACCCTCGAAAAGCTACCCTTGGACCCTTCGTGAACTAACAATACCTGAAACGAATACGAAATTGCCTCTAACTACACAAATAACCATGACAGTAGCTTTCATTTTATTGGATGAGGAATATGAAGAAGAATGAAGATGAATAGCGTAGAGCAGTCGTTTAGTTTAGCAAATTTCGCGATTTGTATGTATAGCACAAGACACAAGTTTTTCCCATTTGTCAATTTAAAGAATAGTATCAGACGATGAGCTAAACATCAGTAAAATTGTTACAAGATTAACGATAAAACTCCTTCAGATGTTGCTTTCGTCAGAAAACTGACTCAACAAACTGATGTAATTTTAATTTCCAAGCTTAAACTTCTCATGGCATTAACGTTAACTGTAGATTACAATGAGTTTTCAAGTAGAAAATTGACAATGACAAGATATCATTTTAATGATTTTAAACATTATGTGTAGGTATACATATAAAACTCAAATAATTACCGTTTAAATGTTCTTATGACTCACGGTATTCTGAGTTACAGATTTGCATCTCTTTTTGATGATTTATTGCTCCTTCCTGGTATCCAATATTTAATCATTCGCTTTTCGTATCTTTTATCGACGGAAAGTTTTCAGAATGAATAACAACAATTACGAAATTTAGTCAAAAAATTACTCAGGTCTATTTTAAATTAAAATTCATTAGGTGCAAACATTTACGTGACACTCAGTTCGATTGAAAATTAATTTTTTGTACATAAGTACCAAAACTATTGGTGACATTGAACATCTAATGCAATTACATAGCTTGGCCCGTCTTAAACCTGCTAGTTGAAAATCTTCAATATTGATAAAATGAAAACAGACCCCCCCCCTATTAAATGTTTTTCCGGGGGTAGCTGCTGTATCGTCCGTTTTAACTTGGAACGCGTTAAATTTTTACCACATTGGCGTAAATATAGTATAGCAGTATTAGCCTCTAGCAAAGAGGAGTTAGACAGAGGAGAGAGATAGCTTTAAATAAAATGAATGCGGTACTGACAAAACAGTACTGAATGAAAATAAATAAAAGTAAAACAAAAATATTGGTATGCAAGGGAAGAAAAAGGACGGAAAAGAGCGAATATAAAGGTAGGAGACGAAAAATTAGAAGTGGCCGATTTAAGGTATCTAGGAAGTCAGATAAGTCAGGACGGAAGGACTAGTAGGGATATAAAACAGAGGATAACGCAGGGTCGAGTCGCCTTCAATAAAAAGAAGTCACTTCTATGCTCGCAAACGGTTAATTTAGAAATTCGAAAAAGGTCGTTAAGGGAGTATGTTTGGAGCGCTGTACGGGTGCGAATCATGGACAGTGGGCGCAGTGGAAAAAAAAATATTAGAAGCGTTCGAAATGTGGTGTTACAGGCGAATGATGAGGATACCGTGGATAGAGAAGGTTAAAAATGAAGAGGCATTAGAAAGAGTAAGAGAACTCTATGGAAATCAATAAGAAATAGGCGAGATATATTGGTAGGACACCTTCTCTAGCATGAAGGTCTAGTCAGAGACATATTAGAGACAGAGACGGGAGTTAGGAGGAGTAGATATATTACGCAAATAGTTAAGGATATGGATTGCTTTAGTTTTAAGGAAATGCGAAGAATAGCTCAGGTTAGGAAAGAGTGGAGGTGCGTGTCCAACCAGTCTTAGGACTGACGACCTTATGATGATGATGGCGTAGATATGGGACAACACCTGGGCGCCAGTTACGGCATTGTATACAAGCAAAAATAAATAATATTTTGTACCACAGAAAACCTTTAAAAACGCCGAGTAATATATAAGAAGTAGTTTAGTAATTTTGTGTAAGTGATGATCGAGAACTTGAGGCGATATTTTATTTTCGGTTCAATGAGCTGTACAGCGTACACCTATCGGCCTCGGGAAAAACTTCACTTGAGATAACACGTCGCATCAATCGTTAAACCAGCAAGATAATTTCAAACGAATTGAACATCGACAATTTATTTCGACAATATTTATCGATTCCATCCAGCTGCCAAATGATAAATAACCCTCTTGTCAAACTACGCTTTTACTTTAGACTTGGCGTGGTTATTTTTTTTTTTCCTACATCATCTGTTTACTTCTTCTCATTTAAAGGAAACGGGTGGCATCTCAAAATGTTTTCTTAAATACCGAAAAGAACATTATTCAAAACTTTTGTGACACTGCTACTGTCATAAATAGAAAATACTTATAAAATCAAATAGTTCATTCCTCCTGTAACTTGGCGAGTGGCTCAGCGGACATCTTGTTGAACGCTAGCGTCATTCTTAAACGTTCTCAAGCATTTTAAATGATTCTTAAACATTCTGAAATATTCTTTAACAATTTCAAACGTTCTTATGGTTTACGCAATAGTCAGATAATGAGAGAACTGTGATTTAGCCGAACGTTCTATTCGAGCACTTTTTTTATGTTTTTATAATATTCGATGCCGTTGTAAATTTATACTCCTATCGTATTTCACTGTGAATACATATTCCATAAACCAATTCCGTGTAAACAAAACATTACCATTACGTTATGTTATGCATGCATAAATGTACCATGTGTCTGTCTACATGTAAGATTATGTAAATGACGATTTAAAAACTAACGAATCTATCTAACGGAAAAAGGTAAACCTATCTGGTACATTCGGAGTAATTATCTTAATCAATGATATCACATTTATCTATTAACACTGTTGTTTATTGTTTCACGGTAGTTTTCCAGTGAAATGTTTATGTTTTTATAACTACACCGTCTACTTCATTATTATTATTACTGTTGCAAAAAAATACACTTTAGCACTAGCAAAAACAACAACAATTTCATTTTACCATCGCAAAAATGCAGCCTGTTATTATTTATAAATTAAGAATCGCTTTTACAATAAAATTTGTTTCAAACAAACATTTTGAAAACTGATATCTTTGGCAGAAACAAGGAATTGTAATAAGAGTGCTTTCAAATTTAAATTTGCCCTTATCCTAAATTACCTACCTTTATATTGCCCAGACCTGGTGTACCTAGTCTTTACAAAAAATGAAAACAATGAAGGAAAATGATTTATTAGATATCAATAAATTGTACGTGACTAGGATGCGTTTACACATAAAAATTTGATATTGTGTTGTTTACTATATTGATCTTGAATTGTAAAATCGATAGCGAGCGTTTGAGTGGCAAACGCAGTGTCCACTTGGTGACCTCCTCCTCGTTTATCACAGTCATTTCTTGTTCCCAGAAGCGACATTATATACACTTTAATTAACGCTTGCGAAGAACGTGTTCTACATAATTGATCGTAGTCGACTAGCGTAGTTAGGGGGTTGGGTTGGGGTATTGCTTGTCTACAGAGAGAGATCTTGCCAAGTTTACAAAAAAGTCTTCTCGAACTATTTGCCTCACCGCAATAATAAGGGAACTAAACTATAACTTAGACGGTAAAGAGTTTTAAATTTTTTGTCGATATTGGGAGGAGCCTAAAAAACATGGCGCTGATGAGGGAGCGCATTATTAATGGGGATCATATCATAAAATTTGTAGAAGAAGTTAGTAGAAGATTAAGTTAATTCAACCGACAACGATTCTCATATCCTTGCGTAATGCCTTCCGGTAATACTATAATACGTTTGGAAATGTAATTTGTCGTTATTGTTTCGATTGAATCTTTGAATGAATAAATAAACGAACAAATGAAGTTGATTTAATGTTTCTTTTTTATTATTTTGTCTTACCTGGACCCTTTGGCACTGAATCAGACTCTGCGTGTGTGTTAATATCCTATAAACGACGTGTTCTATCGTGCTCTGTTCTTCGAATATCATCCGAGCCAAATCGAGAAGGACCTGATTTCGTTTTACTTCCAACTGCGACTTTTCGTATAAATGCGCATTCCTCAGGCCGATACCACAAAACTGAAGATAACTCGCGAAAATTTGCTCGTCCTGCTGCGTGAACGGTGTGTCTCCGATTTTATTTATCACCTGAGAACAAAAGAGATCGTGTCTTCTAGTAGTAATGTAAAATCATCATCCGATACTCGGACCCACCACTTGATATGACTTGTTTTAAAATTAGTGTCAATTGATATTATCGACAGTTTTCTTTTCGAGCTATCGATTTATCTCTAATATGCCTAAACTATCGATAAATTTACATCTGCAATGTTACATTAATATAATGTCTTATTAATATAATTATTTCCCTTATTATGGTCCCATAGTATTTATGAAATTAATATGTAGAAGCAATAAATAATAGATTATGGCACGCAAGAGGGTGTCTAATTAATTGGGATCGTAATTATGTGTACTAGAAGCAATTACTAAACGTAAAGAACTGCCTCCGACTCTATTTTGAGATAATTGCTTTCACAATAACGAACACGAATTAAGGAAAACAAAAATAAAATTGTTCTTTCGTAGTAGCTATCACCATTATCTGACAAAGTAAATATGCAATACACGTGTTTGAATTTTAGTCGGTCATATTTAATCTTCTTTTTTTTTTATTGGTATATTTAATGAAAACAACGTAATTAATTAAAGGTTATGTATTTCACGTGATATTTTTTTTTGTTAATAAACCGGAGACCAACTAAAAATTGGACGTGTGTCAACTTTATTTTATTTTAGAAAAAGTTTTCGACTAAACTAACTCAACGAGATGACTGACGCTGTGTACGTTTTATCCCAATTATTTGATGCTGTGTAAAGATATGTTCAGAAACAAATTAATGGATGGATAAATAAATTAATTTGTTAATTGCATCAGTCACATCAAAGTTTGTTTAAATGGTGATACTACAATTATCATAAAAATTTGATGCGCCACAATGTGAAATTGTTTGTAAAAAACATAATTTGAAAAGCATAAAATAATAAATAGTTGTATAATAACAATAATTATGACATTTGGGTACTTTTTTAATATAGATACACATATGCAGAACGAATGTATTACAGATTTTAAAACCAAATTCAAAGTTCAAAGATAAAAAAACAAATAATAGTTAAAATCAAGTAACTGACAGTAGAATGCCATCTACAGATTTATACTGTTATTTGTTGTATTTCGAAGTGTTTGACAAGGCCTTAGGAGGGTGTCTAATAACTGCCAAACTAAATCTACGACATAGTTTGCACACGTGTAATAATTTTGTGCGTAGCATTGTAAGCTACGTCGTAGATCCGTTTTGGCAAGTTATATGCTATCGTAAGGCTTTGTTGATGTATAACCGTAATGGAGACTCATATTAATTTTATTAATAATTAATCGATAGGTAATTTTACTTTCATAAGCAATCCTGTGCTTTGATGATATTTTATAAATAAAAAACGGAAGGTTCTAGCCCAGCAGCTCGGGTACAGTTATCTCATAAGGTTAACCTTAAGACCAGAATTACCCGAACGTTTCTAATCGATGCATAATCAATAATTATACTGATCAAACTAAAGTTCGACCATCTAGTACTGGTAGCTTCTATAAATAACCGAGAAGAACAACTTGTTAATATTCTTTATTCAATAATAATAATAATATTAATAAAAAAAATACCTGTGCAACTCCTATAACATCTCCATTGAAGTCCTTGATTGGCATACAAAGAAGCGATCTTGTCCTGTAGCCCGTTAGGACATCGATGTCGTGGTTAAACCTCTTGTCCTGAAACAAATAAAAATTGCTCAGGAGTGGGTTCGAGAGTTCAGTATCTTATCAAAAACAAAGTATCGTCTCGACCTAAATAAAAAAGTTTTTGAAAACTCGGTTTCTAGAACCATCTGTCTGTAAGACTTGGGATTTTCGTTTTAAGTAGGTATACTTAATGGTGTTATTCTAATCCTTATCTACCGATAAGAAGAAAACATATTTTTGAATTCCTCAATTCAAATGATTTACATTTCCCCTTTCCATTAATATTTATCCATTGTAGTTGTCTGAGATGTTTTTTATCCTAAAAATGACAAATAATAACAATATTTTTGATTATATTTCCATTTTTTTTTATCATAAGGAACAAGTTCATTAATTTTACGACAGATATTCGTTTGTTGTTATATCTTGTGCAGATCAGTTCGAATCTAATAGCCGAGGTGTATCTGAAATTGCAGGCAGATAATGTCACCTTGTAGAGAGAGTAAACACAAATAATTCCTTCATTACTATTGCTTTTGCATAAATTATTGTTAATGTTAATTTCAGTCAACAATTCGCGTAGCTTTGCGTTCAGAACTTCAGAACATTAACACTGCTGTTATAAACCAGTTTAATTATGTAATATAACGACATAATAAACTGTGCACCTTAATTATTTATTAATCATAGTCCTTGTTTATCACAGTCATTTCTTGTTCCCAGAAGCGACATTATATACACTTTAATTAACGCTTGCGAAGAACGTGTTCTACATAATTGATCGTAGTCGACTAGCGTAGTTAGGGGGTTGGGTTGGGGTATTGCTTGTCTACAGAGAGAGATCTTGCCAAGTTTACAAAAAAGTCTTCTCGAACTATTTGCCTCACCGCAATAATAAGGGAACTAAACTATAACTTAGACGGTAAAGAGTTTTAAATTTTTTGTCGATATTGGGAGGAGCCTAAAAAACATGGCGCTGATGAGGGAGCGCATTATTAATGGGGATCATATCATAAAATTTGTAGAAGAAGTTAGTAGAAGATTAAGTTAATTNAAAAATACCGAAATCCCACAGTTTATACTATTAAACCAAACGAGCATATAATATCTAGAATTTTATCGCGTTCTCAAGAAGAGCTGCAACAATTTGGATAAAAATTGGTTCACAATAAAGAGAAAATATTATCAGCGAAAGAACTCGTTTTCACGCAGTTTCGATAGAAAATACTATACATTTCAATCGGACAAAGGTATGTTCAAAGCCAAACTTTCGTCCTGGATATCCATGTCGCATAGATTAGACGAGTGAAGCTCATTACTCAACTTGATAGTAGTGTATAAAAACATATTTATTAAAGTCTATTAAATGTACATCACGTTAACAATAATAAAAATCAACGTGAATCTTGCACAGTAGCCAATTTACCCTATCCTTAAGTGAAAACTCGAACCATTAAATGTGTAATTTATTTTCCTTCGTAAAATATACGGTCTGTATATGTCAGGATCAAGCCGTATGTATTGGGCCACCCAGTCAGCTTTGAGTCATTCATTTGTTTATTTTATTGTACACGAACAATTTGTCAAACAATTGATATCGATCACAACCTCATCATAATCATAAAAATTGCCGATAATTATGTTATATTCTATACAATATGGCATCATCAACTCAATCCATTTATTTGCGTATAGTTGACTGGATGAAGAAGGTACCACCATCGAAGATAATGTATGTGAAAACAATAAAAATTAAACCGCCACGTTTATTTATTCAATAGTATGTGTCAAAAAAGGAAAACAGAGAACAATTGGTTTATTAGGTTCGATTATAGATAATATCTAATTATATTTTGCATTGCTGATCTCGAATTACTGGAGTGGTTAATATGAAAAAAGAAAGGTAAAGACAAACGGTCATTTATATGTATGGATATATATCTGACGATTGATTTTCGTTATTAACAAAATAAATACCCACGAAAACTCCCTCGAACAACCTGTTATATAAATAATTGGTAGATAAGTTCAATGTAAGGGTATTTTTATTCCAAGAAATATATTTGAAAAGCAAGCAGTAGTAAAGAAAATATTGACCTTTGTTGGAACGAAAGAAAGTATTTTTGTGCTAATGTTTGGTTTAATAAAGAGAAATTAATTTACTTTCCACGATATATAATTTACCTGTAGTTCAAACGAAAATGATTTAAAATTAAAAAACTTTTCGATATGCAGTTGAAGAAGTTACTAAGCCTTCTAAAAAAATTGTTAAAAGTGTATGTACCTAACCTACGCCTACTCTGACGTGGCGGCCGTCAGCCATCTTTGACAGCTGTCATCATCAGCCATCTTGTAAAGCTTTCATCTTCAGCAATATTAGAAAGTTGTCATCGTCAGCCATCTTGAAAAGCTCTCTTTTAATCCAGAACGAAGGTAGCCAATCCAAGCTAATGTAATCTCTTTTTTTCAAAGCTACCCGACCCTGAGCTATTCTTTGATACATAAAAAATGCTATTTTGAGCCGAAAACAAAACTCATCTCATATTGTACTGATTGCATCGTTTCTTATCGCCTTCCCGACTCATCGTCAGATATAGCTGCCAGATTGATTTAAAATGAAGCCATGTTTGAGCTGAGGCCATTCATGTTTATCTTCCTGGTTTTTTCTTTGTGTTTCGCTGGCAGTACTTTTAATTTTCATTATTATAAATCCTTCCTACGCGTGCGGGCGTTCCGTTATTGACATTGAAACTGATCCAAACCCACGCGTAAGCAAAAAACGTTCTCGCGAACAACATTTTTTAATAAGAAGTTTAATAATCGTTACAATTTCGAGAATTTCTCGCCCACCAAATTTCAAGAAACAGATTTGCACAATGTATAAAAACTAAATTAGACTTGTACTATCTATAGATATCAGGATTATCAGAAAATAATCACGTAAGGTATCTATCAATTTCATTTTATTATACTAACGCTTTTATCACTTCCAAGACAAATTATTTTTGGTAATAAGGTAAATGAGGATTTTACCTTTTCACATTAGAAAAGCAAATATGTAGCAACTAGTACAGTCCGTCCAAATTTAGACAAATTGCACACTTATAGATAGTTATTAATTAATTAGTTAATCAATTAATTGTATATACTATGAACATAATTATAAAATATCGTATAATAGGCAGTGTATCGCCATCTAATGGGTATTTACTGCTACTAAAGTATTTCTTACATACAATAGCTTGTTTAGGTTTACGATGAAACAAATCAGTTTGAATTTAGATAGACTCCAAAGAGCCCAAATATAACTCAAGAAATCTAATAAACCATGTAAATTTCTATAACATTAAACTATTCGAATTAAACATTTAAAATCTATGCGGTGTATGCTATCTCGATTTTCGGATGTCTAAATGTTCTCTTTGCAAAGAAACTATTCATGTAGAAAATCAATTAGATCTTTGAATATTTCGAGAGTAGGTGTTACATCAAACGATGTTTACTTCCAAATTTCGCCTTTGTTATTTTAATTAATCGCTAGCTGTTACTTTAATTAATCGCTAGCCCAGTTTTTTCTTTTAAACTCAAAATAACAGCTGTCTTAATAAAAGAAGAAAGAGTAAATTACCTGGTGGTAAAAACCCAATGCGAACTAAACTATTTTTATACCTTTGCATAATAATATTTTTCGTACACGTAAATATTTTCAACAAATTAATAAAAAAAATAAAAATGAAATATTCGCTGTGGAATAATTAAATATAGTAATCATGGAATTAGTGTGTTTAATTAAGCAAAAAAAAGTTAAAAACAATTTTATTTATTTAAAAGCCATCTTATCATTCTTGTTTTTCATCCTTTCGTTTTCTAAAACCTAAAAAATATATATAAATATGTTCTTACCTGATATGCATCTGGTATATTCACGGCTTCCCCACTTTCAGCGACGTACCCCACGATCCCAGTGCCCCATGGTATGCAGATTTCGTCTTTTTTTTCCATTTCACTGAGAGTACTTTTAGAGCAGACGTCGAACAGTTTAGAAACGAGACAGCGACCTCGCGGTACTTCGCCGGGGGGCATTGGGGTACACCCGCCGCCTTTGGTACCCTGGACTAGAAATAGGGAACCTCGATCGGCCTTCAGTAACATTGACACGTTCTGAAGGATTTTGTGACAAAGTGAACGCACTTCTAACTCGTTGCAGATGTCTTTAACCTGAAACAAAATCGAAAAAATACGTAGACAACAAAAAGACACTCTCAAAGGTGGTTGAAAATTTTGTTTTGTAAATGGAACTCAGTTTGGTAGAAAGTTGTGACACAAAATTTCATTAACTGATTCGGTATTAACGGGTAATGAAACCTAGGGAGGTCATGGTCCTGACCTTGACCTCACAAAATCGTGTTGTCAACGACTTGTATACTGTTATAGTCAATTGCATGGAATAACAATAATGAAATTGTTGAAATTCGTTAAAAAATATCCGAAAATCAGAAAGACTACAATTTTTGTTTTATTTATAACGTATTAGAATGTATGTAAACGCCACAATAACATGGCACTTATAATGAACACCTAAACGTTGTTTATCAGATAAAAATGTTAAATGGCTTTTATCTCGAGACAAGGACTATTACAAAAGTGATTACAAAAATACAAAACAAATACATCAAAAAATCAATATTATCGAAAAAAATATGACATTTCCTGTTTTATTCATTTTGATTTGCACAATCATCTTTAGATGTAAGACAAATCAATAAATTTCAAATTAGATACCTGTCATTTAGTTATAATTTTGTAGATGACATACGTATTGTTAAATTCAGACAAATTATAGTGTTGAGTGGGGTGCTATTGGATATGATATCATTTTTCTAATTAATATCATTGTCATTGTTATCACATAAAGCGAGATTGTCTTTGATATAAATTAGAGATGACGATTGATGGATGGATTATATCTAACATTCGGTTGAACTGAATAGCTAAAAACACTAAAAATCTTATGGGGATTTCCCCGCTTGTACTGTCGAATATCGCTTCACTGCATGTTAGCAGACTTGTCCCTCACTCTTTGAGAAATTGTTGTGGCGGTTGGAGTGTTTAAAATTAATAAAAACTTAATAAATTTAAGAAAACTAAGGTGTGGATGTTTTCTAAAAGATACAGACGATATAAACAAAGAACAGAAGACTCCATGGAAGTCAATAAAAAGTAGGCGAGATAGGTTGGTAGGACACATTCTCAGGCATGAAGGTCTAGTCAGAGACATATTAGAGGCAGAAACGGGAGTTAGGAGGAGTAAAGGTAGACCTTAAGGATATGCGATGTTCTAGTTTTAGGGAAATGCGAAGATTAACTCAAGAAAGATATCTTATGATGATGAGGCACCTATACAAAATTGTTGAAATTTTATAACTATTATATCTAGCTTTAATTTACAATAACACACTTTTTCTTTTACTATTTATGAGTAAATGCAGATACTTTTTTTGGTTTTTGTGTCTGTTTTAAAAACGATTCCATATAACCTTAATAAAACAGAAACGTGTACATCTCCTTGACACTCATTCTCATTTTTTAACAATTTAGAATCGCTAAGATTAATATTAATTAAACATTTGACGCCACGGTACCTAAACAAACATACAACAGGTATAACGAACGCGTAATACTCAAGGTTTTATGTAAATTGTTCAATCATAAAAACGACTCTATTCGTGCGTGTAACTACATAACTAATTAACTATAAAAATTAAAAAAAAAATAAGGAGAATAGCATCACACAACTGTATCTATAATACAACTACAAGTTGTACAATCATTAACTTCAGTAAAAACAGGTGTAGAAAACGTAGTCGAATAATAGCTGTTTGTTATGTACTTACACGTGAGTATAAGATGCATCACTTAGCAATCATTTTTTTTTTTAATACCTAAACAATTCGGCGCGAGATGAGGATTTCTTTATGACTTAAGGAGACAAAAAAATGCTACAATTTATAACCAACTTCAAAGGATGCATTTCCAAAATTCTTTCTTTTTTGAAAGAGAATACTGTCGAACTTATTGTCCTATTTAAATTAAACAAAGTTCAAAAACAGTTAAAATTTTATGTATGTTACTGTATTTCAGTCATATTTCATAACATATTAAACCTAACAGTTCGAGTTGACTATCTGTTTTAGATAAGAAAATCCTTATTAGAAAATAAAAAAAAAAACACCAACAGTTTTTCGTCAAATTGATAGAATGAAAACAAGTTGGGTAACTTCATTCAATGCTTTTCATGATAAAACAACATGAGAAATCACTTATGCGTTATCGGGAATGTTTGTTACACTACTTTAGAGTAGGTTTTAGTAAAACTATTTGTCAGCTACATGTCCACCCTTTTTTTTTAATAAGCACCCTTCCTAATAATAATCACATCTACTCTATCTGGCATAGTGAAAAAGCGGTCACCGTTGAACTGAAACTGAACCAAAAAAGACTTACCAATTCAAAAATCAGTTCCTTTTCATCAAGTTGTCTCAGTTCGTTTCTCGACTTTCTTTGTCTCCGCGCCGGTTGCGGACTCACTCCGACAATTTGCGATTGTTCATCCGCGGATCCGGTAAGAAACGTTGGGGTACCATCGATGGTACTAATCATGGGTTTAAGTAGCCCACCCCGTTCGAATTCGTGCGCCGATATTTTACGAACAGGCGTTGTGGCTCCAGAACTTTGTCGCGATGGATTATTGTGGGTCGGTGACGCCAGTTCGACGCTCGATGACGTCGGGGTCGTGTGCGATACCAGCCACGAATCCACCACATGTCGCGTTGCTTTCCTAAAAAAAACAAAATGAAAACGATGTAGGTACTTTTCATTAATTCGCCTTATGATTCTATTAAAGACAAAAGAAAACAAACATGTACTAATTATAAATTGTTGACGTTTGAGACTGCGCCTCAATATTAGACAACTACGTTGAAACTTCTAATTTTATTCCATAAAATATACTACAACGCCTAAATACTCAAAATAACAAATTTACTTAACACTTATCTCGATACAAAAAATTTGTTGATGAAACATGACATGTAGTAGTTTTATGTTTTGAAAAAGGTTATATTTGTTCGTATTTTGTACTACACTGGTTAAATATTGTACCACAAACATGTGGCACACATTTAAATCTTCCTTTTGTCGTCAATAAATTGTTCTAAACGTTATGTAAATTATAAACAATGTATTTATTTTATACTTATCGTTAGATTATAATGTATGTTATCTAATTACGCGTGCAAAAAAAAATAAGGGAGTTTTTGGGAGGACCAACCTTAAAAAATAGTCTTGCACAAAATCGGGATGTTCATCTAACCAGGCTTCCATACGCGCATATTCGGGATCGTAGTTTGATCTGTGTAGGCGATGCAGGCCTGACTCCCCTCCCGCCCCTTCACACGGCATCCGGGAGTCGTCAATGCCACGCAGGTGCAAGCCTGGAACAAAGAACAATAAGAAAAAATTACTAGAAGTGACTTACGCTGCGAAGCCGAACAATAAGACATTAAATTAATATAACATATATCACTTGTTTACTGCTCATTCTGACATTTACCTATATCTCATTCAACTAACTTAATGGAACCAAGACAATAATACATCGCAAGGTAGTAAAATAAAAACTTTAAGTCGTTAAAGTTTCTGAATATAAGACATAATAAGCTAACGTGTATACGTTTGTATGTATTTATGCGTGACCTCCTGCAAATACGACGCTGGAATCCTTTATAACTTCCCACGTCCAAATTTCCAGCTTATAAACCACGGAAAAGTGTGGTAGGGGAACACAGAGGCGTGGAAACCGGATATCTGGCCAATCACGGTTGAGGTGAACGAGCGTTACAGTAGAATGTACTAAGGGAAGCTATAAAAGACACTGCAGGTATAAGTTTGCGACTACTACTTATTGGAAACGTGTAGTTGATAATTGGAAATGTTCTCAAAAGATTAAATTCCGCATCTATTTACTATTTCAATAATAAGTTTCAAACGCATACTCTTGTTGTTCTGTGTTTCGCTGTTTATATTGTTCCATCAATGATGTAAGCTTGTAATGCAGTCTTTCCGGCATGACAATTGTTTCCATTTATATTATTACGACTGAAAAGCTTCGGAATATGGGAATGTTTTAGCAAGTTTAATGAAAGCCGAAAGCTTTCTTGATACGACTCACAATCAGAGACACCGGAAATGAATACGCTTTGTGGAATTGTTTTAAATCACACACTTGAAAGTAATGTAAGAAATTCTCAAGTTAAACAGACCGAATCCTTTATTATTACAGAAATACAATAGGAATTGTTTAATATGCAAACTACTGTACTCTATCACAAAATATTAGAATGAAAATTTACTAATCAAATTTCACGATGTACATCTATATGTTTGAATTCCCAAAATCCCTTTGGTCAAGTGCATCCTTGAATTTCCAAGACGGAGAAGCCTTCAAGGCCAATTCAGACCGAGGGTTTCAAAACCACTATCGAAACTATCGTAGAATCGATTCTAATGAACTTGGCCGGAGTTGTTTGCTCGGAAAACTTAAACCGCAAAGATGTAGACTGATGTTCTCGGGAAATACGAACCATAAGGAAGTATACAGTACTTCACAAGGGATAGGTGCTTTTGTAACGAATTTGAGAACTCGGAATCATTTTAAGGTATCACACCATTTCCCATAAACCAACTCTGTTTATTAAAAAAGTAATCGTTACATTGCAGAGTGTTAAACAGTAGTAAGATATGTTAAGAATTGAATGCATTGGTGACAATCTGTATGAATCTTTCGGTTTCTAACGATTTCCGTTTGATAGCAATAAAAACCCTTTCAAAATAATGTTTGTGGAAGAAACAACAAAGGCCAACGTATCCTACGAATGGTAAACAATAGTTCAAGGGAACCATTATTGTCATTTGAATGCTTTTATTGAGTTATTAAACAGACGTTTATTTTCTCATTTTATTTTCTAAAGCGACAAACATCTTTCTATCACTTAACCCTTAACTGATTCAAACATTTAAAAGTAGAAATTTTAAAGTAGGTAACTTATAAAATAAAATAATTCGAACTGGTCTGTATTCTGTAGAAACTCTGCCAGACGCGGATCGCGATTTCGATCTTTTTGGATCTCATCAGCGCGTCGTAAGCAGCTCCGACAGAACACAGACCAACTTTTACCTGCTGTCTTAACAGCGCGTTTTAGAAAACACCACAAATGGCGCGGTAAACGCCATCTGTAGTACGATGCTACATTTTAGGATTACGTATGCTCGCATATGCTCGTATATGCATAATCCTAAAATGTAGCATCGTACTACAGATGGCGTTTACCTCGCCATTTGTGGTATTTTCCAAGTAACTTATAGATTGAAACGTTAGAAAATTCCGTAAGTACAACAATTACGTCAAAGTTCTCTTTACGAAATAAGCTAAAACTATTATTGTTGGTATTCCTTCCGGTCAATAAAATCTAATGGGGTTTTACGATGTCAGGAAATAACATTAGTCGCGCCGCAGTGTCTAACTCTAAACTCAATCTACCGCCATTTAAAAACAGTCGGCCATCTTCAATAAAAAAATTTACCATTTACAGTAGAACATTCAATAAAACCAGTTGGCGACAGACTTTAAAATTTTAGAGTCCGTCTATGCAGAGAAAGAGGTACTACAAAGGGTAATAAAACGCCATTATAAAACGGATCGTAAAGCCGACTTATTACATTACCAAATTGAAGTCGCCCACCGCACCGCTACCACTGCAGGAAAGGGTTCTTATAACGCGCGCTCCTTCCTGCTAAATTTTATAAAGGTCAAGTACCATCACGTATAGTTATACATAGACAATAGCCCCGTGGAGATTTGAAAAACAACTTTATTTCATGTCGGCGTAATTTTTATTTATTTCGGGAATTACCGTTTCAGAAAGTTGTTATTCCAAAACAAACGCCTACTCAAGTTCACCTGTCATAAGTAAAACAAAGTAAATGTAGGTCAAAAGGTACACTTGGAAACGAAATAAGAAGAAATAAAGTGCACACGTCATAAAAACAAACAAGATTTTCTTGTTTAAATAAGAACCGAGGAAGGGCTGTGTCCGGTAGGTATTCGTACGTGTAGCACAGGAAATTGCAGTTGTCGTAAAAGAGAAGCAGCGTCTTAAAACCGAAATACCTACGACATTTCCACACCTTCGAAGGTTGTAAAAATTTTATTTAGAATCCAAAACCTGAACTCTCCAAAGTAAAACTTTCTTAAGTGTCTAGTAAAATATACATTGTATTTTAAATATTTTATTAAATTAGATGTGTTTACTCTAAATTGGAGTTTTTTCGAAATTGTTAAGCATCGTTCAGAATAGTCACTTCAGTGTCAACTTAGTAAATATTTTTCTAGATCCGTAGTCAAACAACTCCTGGTAGTGGAACACTGAAAGGAAACAAAAACATTTTCTAATTATTTTAATGCACTAAGCCCGTCAATTTAATTTCGGCTTTATGTAATCGAATAATGCTTCATATTCCAGCTTAATTGCCGTGTTGTAGGATTGTTTCCCCTTTGATGAGGACATCAATAGAGTCGTTTATCCGAAGTTCCGTCGGCTTCCTCAAGGAACGTAGTAAGGGCGTAAAGTCCTTGGCGATGGTTATAATGAGATCCGCTCTAATTACTAGGTACCACAGTAGTTAACGAAACGTTTCCATCGGTGTTATTACCGAAAGAAAGATAATCTTAAATATTGGTCATCATGCCCGAATATGCCTTATTCAGATAATGCTGGCCGTGAAAGCCTAACTCTGGTTGTGTATCATTTGCTTCTATAAATAACATTCCGTAAACAACTTTGTTTTCTAAAAAAACCCATCCCTCTCCTCCTACATATCAGTTCCTGGTTTTATTTTATCGCAAACCACTCGCTATAATTGAACCGTTAATGTGGTGGTAGGTTGTGGAGGGTAATTATGGAAGTTGTGTTGCAAGCATTGTTGTTTGAGCAAACTACCCCAAAAACAATAAGTTGATTATGGGGGACATTGACGTTCAATTTACGTATTCAGCAAAGGAGATATGTTAACCTTATTCTTGCCCTTCATAATATACACTTCCTTACTCGGGAATCATCATAATACACTTGCCCCAAATCTTTAATGGGCTATCAAATGTCTAATTGATGCGTGGTGTGATGTAAATCCATTTTACGATGAATAAAAATAAACGAAGCTGTTTCGACATAAACTTTTTAAAATCCTGCTTGACATTTATGAAACAAAATGATTCATTTCATCATGAAGTTTCCTGAATTCATCGGAAGAGAAATTTGGAAAGGAAGGTAGCGTAACGGATATAAACTTGCAATGTTTTCAAATTAGTAGACTGAGTTTGCTTCCTTGTTTCAACTCCAATTTTCAGTTGATAAAATATTGTGTTGCAGTGCCACTTATGCATGTATATGTACCTCGAAAATAGGTTATAAGTATGTATTCTACAAAACGCGACAGTGCAATATGAATGCCAAAATTGGCTCACAATGGGCAATAGCGCAAAATTGATGTAATGATAACAAGATTTAAAACAACCAACATTAACAAATGGGTATCTACATCTATCCGTAAACTTGGGTGATCCAGAAAATCAGGAAGTTTGCTCCATCAAAGTGCAACCAGAAATTTGATATGTATATCGCAATCTTAATGGTGACCACACGTACTTACCAAAAACGAGATGATGAATCGCAGCTTTATGTTATTGCAGTTTCCCAAGTTTCTCCTATCAAATGATACTTATTCACTCGCATGACTAAAGGACAAGGTTCCCAGACATAATCGTTGTTATTTTGGCTTCCATCCTATCTCCATGTTTCAGCTGTAACTGTGTCGAGCCAAAATTTGTACATTCTCAAACATGAACTATCCGCTCTAACTCTTTGGCGTAACTCCAAACTATCTCGGAATGACTAATATCAGAACCATAAGGATTTTGCGAATGAAATTGCTACATAAAACTACTACAACTACATCAGTGGAAAAATGACCCCAGACATCACAACGTGAACAATATCCCTATAGAAGAAATACAGGAATGGTTAAAAAGACTTCTGGATCTTAACATGTTTAAAAACCCATAACCATTAGCAGAACTCTAACGAATGGAGTGAACAAGTTCAATCAAATTTGAGTCAAAGGGCATGAGTTTTTCTTGGAATTTCTATGGAAGTACACACATACACACCAAGATATTAATATGCCGCACAAGTTAGACTTCTTTGTCGCAACTACATGTACAAAGTAATTATACACACAGAGATAGACAGATACATACACACGCAAACGTAGACACAGACGATCGTTCTATCCCAGTCCCAGTTGACGTTGGTTAAAATCGTTTCCCGTCGCCGTAAAATTAATTTATGCTCGCCCAACTTCGCCCACAGAATGCGCTAAAAATTCCCGTTACTACATCGAAACCTACTACGTACGTACTACACACGTGTGTGTAGGTACGTGTCATACTATCAGGACAGGCCATGAAAATAAAGAACAAAATTCAACTCAAATACAGATACATATATGTACATCATATTATGTTCTAAATTTCCACCCCTCATTGGGAGTTCGTTTGGTTCACATATTTTACGATTCAACGGTTTGGATGAAAAATTTGGTTTCTGCGGATCCTTAGGAGTCATGAACCATATGGGGAAAGCATTGTTTTCACGCAGTTTTGATAAAAAATAGATCATTTGAGTTGATGATACACAGCCCCACAACATCTCGTATGTCCATGTTGCATACTTGCACTATAAATGAAAAATCAATCACAACAATTTCAATAAAATCTGTTTCTTTGCTGACGGTGATGTTGGAGTAAACTATTTGGACACCCATTAAGGTCCATGGCAGTTAGTTTGTGTCTCGTATTATGAAATTTACAATAAATTTACATAAAGCAAACCAGAAGCGAAAAAAGGCTTTGTCTTCATGCGAGAACACGTTTTCTTTACAACCAGTTAACAATGCATGCGTTATGTCAGACAGGATGGAAACATATCTACGAATTTCGTTTTCAAATCTCGTATAAAAGGGAAGATGAAGTCATTTAACCTTTAAAAATGTTGAAACCATACATCGCCTACCATATGTTATAATAATCTATTTACTGTTCTCTTTTTAAATTCGTTTTAAACCTACCGAGTGCCTACATGTTACTTTTTATCCAAAGTAATTAAATATTAAGAGAAAAATGATCCTGTGGGACCGACAAGTTTGGAAGATTACTTTAGTATTTTCGCTAAAGAGTCCTTAAGGACCAGCATTCAAATGATCCCTTAAAAGCTAAAGCTTTAAACTTTTCAAAGGAAGTTTCGAAAGCCTCCCTTTTGTCAGGGCACGAAGCAGGTATTAAAGTTAATTTTGCCCTATTAAATAAATAATATCGGGGCGTACAGTTTCCCTGGTAATCCTTTTCGCATATTAATTACCAAATTAGGGCTTCTTAAGTACAGTATATCAGTTCGTTTCTGGGTACGAAGACAAACGACAGCACAGAAATCTAAAGTGTGTTAAAAAGGGATTTTTAATTATTTATGTCGCAGCAAATTGGAATAAATTTCTACTTTCCATTTCGCCTAGGCTAGTAAAACACATTGTGGATGATTATTACATGTTGCATTTGATAGACCTGCGTCTCCCATTAGCAAAGTGCGAGTTTAGTTAGAATTGGTGTTTGGGGTTTGTGTGACCAAAACTTTCGTTCTAATTGAACAACTGTTTCCAAAATTTTAACCACAAAAAGAATATTCAAAAATACCACACCGTCTGCCAAAATGTTCGAAAATGGTTCACAATGTACGTGAATGTTTCAGTGTGGCCACTTTTGAAGGTAGTCCTGCTTCCAGAATTTCCAAGATGAAATTGAGAGCAGGGAATTATTAAATACTGAAACTTCTGTTCTAGTAGGAACATGTTAAAACATCTTGTTTATGTGACACCGTGTATATTTTAGAAATATTCCTTAAACCGACATTCCCGGAGGACACAAAGACAATTTCGCCCTTGATGAATACTTAATCTTGGTTCTGTTTAGGACACAATGAATTGCAAGGTTCCCAAACCACCATCATTGAAAATTAACCTTCAAAGCAAAATTTTTCTTTTTGTTTATTTCAACTGGCACAGAAAAATAATTTTCATTGAAAAAGGAAAATGATATTGAAGCGCTTCATAAATATCCAGTATCCTATTAGTAATAATTCAGGGGCTGTCTATTCATTATTAGTATTCTTTTACCTAATAAAAAAAAAATAGCATTGTATTGCTTAATCTATAGAAATTCGGAAATGGTATTTGCGAAGACCACAGGTATACCACACCAAGTACACCATACCTCAAATTGAAGGCAATTATTTATGAATCACTTTATCAATTACTTGTTGCAGAAATGTCTAAAAACTAGTCATTACAAAAACACCATTAATTGTTTATTTATACTAACGAGTTTTAATTACAAAAATTTTCCATGCATGTCTATGAAATTACCGCGTTTTTCCTTTTTTTTCTTGATGCGGAAATAATATTATTCATGTGCGTCTCTGATAGGTACAGACTTTATCTTTTTCCTGGCTAATTTGTTGACACCTTCATAATCACGTTATTATAAGGTCAGACTTGCTACTATTTTCATGACTATGACTTTGATCGTGTATTCGCTTTTTTTCTAATCTTAGATAGCAGTTCATGGTGAACAGGTAGTGATGATCTTCCGACAAGAAAAATAATAGAAAATGCACAAATGGAAGAAGAAATTGAAATGCACGTTCAAAGAAATTTCGGACTAAAGACCATATGATGATGATGACACTATCACAGTAACCAAAACGTTTTTATAATCAAGGACATAATAAATAATAGGTATTTCACGGCAAAAAAAGTAGTTTTAGAATAAGTATTTATGTTAGAATGATAACGATATGTTACGAGATGATCTCCCTATTTGGAGTTTGTTAACATCCGGTTTATCGTAAACCATAAATAAAATAACAAAGTAGATTTGTCAAATTGCATAACTCTCGAGTGTATTTGCATAGAACTTTACAATTCAATTGATCTCCTATCGGGCAGCAAACGGCAAGCTTCTTCGTTAATATTTATACGTAAGTAGTACTTCTGTTAGGTGTCATGTAAGCATGGTGTGGGGAAACCCGATAGGGTAGAATAACGTCAATACCCGTAATGCGTTAAGCGCTAAGGGATGAAAGGTGTGTAATCTGATCGCCCTTTAATACAAATGGTTTCTCTTAAGTCTAAAAAAAATGTTCGAATCACAAAAAGCGCGAACGGAAGCCCTAATGTTACTCGTGAGGCTTAAAGATGAGGGTCAGAAAAAGTGGATAGAATTCGAGCTATTTCGTTAATATTGTCAACCGAGACCACAAGGGGAATCCTAAATAAGATTTTAAGAGGTGGAGCAGTATGTAGAAACAAATAAGTAAGTGTAGAGAATGATAAAACAATTTAATCTGAGGTAAGTAGGTGCCTCGGTCGTGAGTTAGGAGGGGGAGGGGGGGTTACTCACCTTTTTTATGTCGACACTGCTGTAGCTTGCACATACTTAGGGTATGTCCCATGGGTCGGTGCCTTTTGCAGTGACGACGATACGAGTCGCGGCCTATCGAGGCGCGAGGGGGCCTGGGACACAGCCCCCCCACATCGCGCCACCACTGTTTCAAAGTCACCGTCACGTTATTAACCTTAACGCTGGTCTTGCGCAGTGCGACGCGCAGCAAAGACTCTTGCTCACCCTGCGCACTAATCTTGAGTTTCGACGAAATCCTTGACGAAAGCTCCAGCAGCTTTTGTCTTCTCAATTTCACCGTCGGCTTCTGCTGATGATTGTATTTCGACCCTTTCCCGTTATTATTCGCTTCTTCTAGGGTCTCGTTCGTTGTATCATCTAACCACGTCGGGGTGTTAAGTTGCCTGTTGTATTCGATGATGTACCAAGGGGTCGCGTTACTTTGTGGAGCCGTTTTGATTAAATTACGAAGCCTATTGTTAAAAAGGAATCGGAATGAACATAGCTTTTTTTATTTCACTCAAAAAACTACCGATTCGATATCTCTTTCGGCAAAATAGATCTTTTTAATCTGACCGATGACTCTTGAGTGAGATAGCAACAATTATAACTAGTCTCAAAGCAATTTTTCATGCTACTGTCTTTCTTATTAAGCGGTTGCGATCGGCTGCTGCTGTATGTCATCCAAAAAACAGTTTCTGAAAAGAATAATACCTAAAGCTCCACCAATGGTCCTTTACTACTTGTAGGGATTGTTGGCTGTATCTGATTTGTCGTTTTTAGAGAATTCCTTGAGGAACAGTTAGCTGGCGCATTTGTGAATTTAAAATAAATTGTACACAATATTTTTAACGGACGAGATATCTTTAGGAAGCAAATTTTTTTAAACTTTTCGTTTAATGAAGTTTTGAATTTAAAACGTGTTAACTTATCGTTAATGTCAATTAAGCTACAAACAGCTGGGAGCATTAAAAAACTAATTTAAATACAATCAATACGAATATGCATAAAGTCTCGTTGCTACACAGACAACTCCAGGCTTTGAACTGTGAAATGATGCGCCAGGGTTGCCAGATGATTTTTCTTTATTCCCTAGATTTCCCCAACAACCATATCTATCTTAGAAGTCTCCGCATATTTTTAATATTTACTCACGAGTGTCTTATCAGAAGCCACCCGAGACTCAGGTGTTTCCCCTGAAAATTCCCCGTCCCAAAAATACGGTTTCTAAGTAGTCACCAACGGAAAGTCACATGAACCGAACAATGTTTAGTGATTTCCCGAATATTATGATTTCCGAACGGGTTGTAGGTATATACAATTAATAATAAAATTCATGAAATCCAACAAATTAAACAGTTAGAATAATTCTCGGACACAAGAGATTTGCTAACCAAACAAATTAAGGATTGAGTTTTTCTTTTGATTTTACTTGTGAAAGTGAATACATTTTATATTTTATGATTCCCTAGCATGTAACTTTAACAAAACCTTATTTAATTGTGTTGTTTATTATATACAAAATATACACAATCGTAGATCTTTGAATGAATTATCTGGAAATCGCGTATCATCCGGCAGTCTTTTGTATGAGTAGAATATGTACGGTTCATGCAGTTTTTTAAAAAAACGCACAATGATAAAACAATCAAACAATTAAGTCCACGAGCACCATACACAGGTATAATAAAACAGTCGCCGCTGTCAATAGTAACATGCTTACGTGATAATAATGTGATTGTAGGTACTATGTATTGGAAAAATATTTTGTTACGCGAATCGCGTTATCGGAAACCATTAAATCGGCATATCAGCGTTAATGTGAAGAATTATTTTATCATATACACATATGTGTAAAACGTATGCCGACATAATATGAAATGAAGCGATCAAACACACACTTTAACCGAGTACAAACTTGTTATCGGTGTTTGATTCAATTTTTTTTAATGATGTTTGCAATTATTTATTTATTTATTATTAAGTAGGACAACGGACAAATCACATTTGCGTTTATAATTCTTTCGGTTGATACACAACTTCCTACCAGTACCTTATTACTACAATTTCCAAAGTTCTCATATCGAAGATGAGACGACAATTACCCTTAATAAAGATCCAAATGATTAGAAACGAACTTTGACCTCGACCTATACTGCTTTTGATCTATACATTTCCATTGCTTAACTATGAGTTATGTATGTGCTATACGAATTACGTATGATGTACAGCACAGGCCAAATAAATTTGCATATTTTAATATCATTTTTGAACTTTCACTAGTTGTCGTAGGGACTGGATCATTATCATCATCGTAGGGTTGTCAATCAGACTTATTTGATATGCACCTCCACTCTTTCCTACCTTAAGCTATGATACATTTGTGAATTAGAGTACAGAAAGGAGAAGTTAAGGCATAGCATTTACCCTGATTCATACTATCGATCAAATCACGATCCTTTGAATCCACCGCGGTGTTTAGCTCGATTCATATTACAGATCATGTTACGATCAAATAACGGTTCAGTTACAGTTTATTCTACAGCGAACAGTCACGTCACGTCCAATTCATGCTACCAGTGAAGTTACGGTTCGGTCACAGTCAAGTAGAATATTATAGCATGCATTTCATATGGCAGTATTCATACTGGAAGGGACGGTCAAGTCACGACCTCGTCAATTCAGCCTAATTCATGCTAACAGTTAAGTCACGGTCCGATCACAGTAAAGTAGAATATTATAGCAGGCATTTCATATGGCCGTATTCGTACTATAAAGATCGGTCAAGTCACGTCCTCGTCAATTCAGCCTAATTCACGCTAACAGTTAAGTCACGGTCCGGTCACAGTCAAATAGAATATTGTAGCATGCATTTCATATGGCAGTATTCATACTATAAGGAACGGTCAAGTCACGACCTCGTCAATTAAGCCTAATTCATGCTAACAATTAAGTCACGGTCCGGTCACGGTCAAGTGTAATATTATAGCAGGCATTTCATATGGCCGTATTCATACTATAAAGAACGGTCAAGTCACGACCTCGTCAATTCAGCCTATCCATGCTAACAATTAAGTCACGGTCCGGTCACAGTCGAGTGGCAGTATTCATACTATAAGGAACGATTAAGTCACGACCTCGTCATTTCAGCGTAATTCATGCTAACAATTAAGTCACGGTCCGGTCACAGTCGAGTAGAATATTATAACATGCATTTCACGTGGCAGTATTCATACTAAAAGGAACGGTCAAGTCACGTCCTCGTCAATTCAGCCCAATTCATGCTAACAATTAAGTCACGGTCCGGTCACAATCAAGTAGAACATTGTAGGGTGGATTTCATATGACAGTATTCATACTACAAGAAACGCTCATGCCACAGTCCACAGTCCAGTCAATTAGACCGGTATTTCTCACCAACAATATATTGATCTGGCCGTGACTGGACCCTGACTTAAGCAATAGTATAAACCTGACTTCGAATAAAGTGAAAGCAGAAAAATTGAAGATGAAAACTTAAAAGTAACCGACTTTCGATCTCTGGAAAGCAAATAGCTCAGGATAGAAAAGCGGTAGAGAAATAAAACAATGAAAAGAGCAGGGTCAAATCGCTTTTATAAAAACAAATCACTTCTATGCCCGCGGATTGTTTGGAATACGGCCGCGTAGGGTAAGAAACGTGGAATTGGTGAAACATTTGCCTAAACATTAAGTGATCAATAGAAACTACAGGAAAATTTAGAGCTGGCGAATTCAGAATCTAACCGATGTCCTTCCGAAAGCTAATAAGCAATGTAAACTTAAGTTTACGGGATGTTCTAGTAGTTTTTGAGAAATATTTTGGTTCAGGATAAGGACGAGGTGTATGTCAACCAGTCTTCATACTGACGAAAATTTTGCCGTAAAACATTGATTTCTATTTAGAAAAGGAAGGAAAAAGTTGTTATTTGATGAACTGTTTACATTTACATTAACAAACGTGTCACTCATCTATCCAGTTATCTTATCTAACGTGTGCATTAAAACGAGTATTTTGTTGTAACATTTTATCATATCAGACTTCTGTTTAACCTGCAATGGAAGTTCATAATAACGACGTTTTATTTTTCCCGACGCTTTTTTACATCCGAAAATTACTTTACTATTTGTAGGTATTACATATCTATTTTTGTTGAATTTTAATTACTTGTTAACAGGCAGTTAAGATAAATTCAATTCAATTATTAATTTACACGTTTTATACAATAAGGAGCATGTTTAAAAAATTTTGCAACTTTACCAGCTCTGTTTCATATTTTTTTGGAAGATGAGTATGTATGAGTTCCTGCTGTACGTAGGAGCCCACATTATTCGCTTATATAAGGTCCATACTGAGGTCGACGATAAAAATTTTATAGGGTGGGAACTATGAAAGACAAAGATTGCGTATTGCCTTTTGTACTAACAATTGCATCTGTATACATGAAAGCGGTTTAGAGAGAACAACAGGTACTTCGATGCGGTTTTTTCATCTCGGTTTCAAGAAATACTAGCTTATGTTAGCATCCTAACTACGCCCCTGATAATAACTTCATAACGAGAACCACGTCAATGGAAAGTTAATAAAACCATTCAAAACAAAATAATAATGAGATAACAAAAATACAATTCATAGAGACGATAGATCGCTGCTTTAAATATGTAATCGAACGATTCATTTTGAAAAATTGAGACACTCGATTTTTCCATGAATTATTGTGAAACAATGTGTAGAAACTGATTAGTATCTGATGAATTATCGAATTCCAAAACCAAAAAAATATATATATACTTATGTATCTAGGTAGATATACGAACCAATTTAGGTATTCCAAAGTCCAAATTATTATTATTTTTTTACATTACATATTAAATATTAACCACTGATTATACGACCAAAACAGCTATCGGAATTTACAAACCGGTTAGGTATATACCACTTGTTAATTTAGTGCAAATGCCCAGCTACCTGATTAATAAAAAAATATTTTTATTTGTATTCTTTTTTCTTTAATATAATTAAAAACAAATGCGATATTAAAATGAATGTTCACATGTACTTTATTTGCATATTAAATAAGGTTTTAATTAAATCATTTTCAATTATTAATTTAGGTTAATTGCACTACGTAAATTACACAATTGCTTTGTACTTCATTACATTAGTGTATGAACGCACACAAACAATTTTATTTGTAGGTGTGTAAATAAATATGAAAAATTACCTTGAGTGGCGCAATACTCCTATTACAATTATTACTAATGTAAGTATGTAATATAGTTAAAAAATCACACTTAGGGTTATTCCAAACAAAGCATTATTATGTGTGTACAAAGTATAAAAACTAAAACTAATAAAAAAGCATAAAAAGGTTTCACGGATTTGTAAGTGAGTAGTTTTCGAAAACTTCTCTTTCTTTTTCTCTGTTTAGATATCAAATATTCGCTTCGAATGAATTAACAATGTGTACCGGTCGTTACATGTCTTAGCTTGCACAAGTTTTGGCAAAAAAAAAACTCATTGGCCTTGATGTATCATCAAGTGAGTCCATGAGCCTGTACTCGTGCTTGCTACTACTGTTATTTTGCCCCTTTTGTAGCCCCTTGCGAATCCGGAAAACAGCCCGAAAGATTCAGCTTAGCAAAGCTTCGTTCAACGATGTGACCTGAATGAATTTCG